AATGCACGGTCGTTTGTCCGCACGACAGAATCGCGCGGCGATAAGGATGACGGTATCGTCATCGATCGCGGAATAATAAACAATTAGCGCGACTCGCGCCGGGCTGATTAATCCCTCTCATCCGTTTCGAGTTTAGATGCGCGTCACCGAGCTGATTTATAGTCGCGTTTTCTGTACACGGAATGGAGAAATAATCCCTTCGCTCTGACCCAATCTTCCGTCTCTCTCCCGCGTTAGACTTTAACGGCGAAAGGGCAAGGGATCTTTCGCTGAAAGGTTTCGCTTTATCCTTTTCAGACGCGCCGTTGCGCAACACTGAGAGACTCTTGTAACAATGCTTTCGCCCTTCTTTCGCCGGAGGAAAACCCTTTTCGTCCGGTCGACACGCACGGACTATTTCCTGCTTCTCCAGAGATGACGCTCTCCGGATGATTTGATAATTCTGTGAAAAGAACAGCACGACGCGACGCGTATAAAAACATGTTTTTTTTTTAATCCGATGCGGAACAGTTATATCTCTTTGAAAGAAAAGCGACGCGATTATGGATTAGCGAAATTAATAGAAACGGAGAAATTTTATATATTTCTCTCTCGCAATTTTCATACGATAAAAATGTATTTTAAAAATACGATTATCAAATACAATCTCGACAGAAACAAAGAAATTCTTTTTTCGTTCGCTCTCTATCTGTTAAAAGTTCCAGTAGTAGTAACCAAAAGCGACATTGTTTTTCTTTTTTAAGGAAGAAGACTATATTTGCCTTTTTAGAGCAGAATATTTGACTATTACAATGTCTCGATTCGGTCACAATAAGATAAAATCTGAACGAAAGCGTCTCTTTCCGTCGAATTTCGGACACGAAAGGATGATCATCGGCAACGTAGCGTATTACGAAATCTGCTTCCCTTCTCGCTCGCGCGCGAAAGTGCAACGCATCGGAACGGACAAAGCGCACTTTGCCCGATTCGTTTCGCGTCTTCTTTGTACGCGAGCTATCGGCAACGAAGCGTGTCGGAGTGGCTGTTTGTAGCGTCAAAACGTCGGGTGAAATCGACGTTCGGGGGATGTGTTTTTGGACGTCGAGCCGGATCTACTACAGCGGCTTCGCACGAAAATGGTAGTCGCTGGAAAACAACGTCTTCAAGTTCGACACGATTTCGAATTCGCCGTACAACGATTTAAACCTCGGACACGATGATTCTCGCCGTGTTTCACAGATCGACGTTAATGTCGAAATAATGTGTCAAAGTTCTGTGTAAAATTCTTTTACATTTCTCTTGATACCGTTAAGCTCAATTTGGAAACGCTGCACTTTCCATCAGATAGGATACACATAAAATAACAGAATATTGTAATTTTTTTAAATAAATATATTAAGTGATTTAAGAGAGAAAAACTGTAATGGTGTGAAATGGTATACAAATTATATACTTATATCGGTACTAAATTAATTTAAAAATACATCAGTGTTAAAAAGAATTAGGATACTGATTTAAAAAATGTTTCTGTCACATATATGCAACTCGATTACTTTGTAATCGTGTATTTTTGAAGTGTAATATTCTCCCTTGCGCGATTTGCGTTTACTATATTTAATGGACGTTTCAGTCATTCATTCATCATATCGGTCATAACTTTATCTCGGAATCAACCGGCCCTTTGACATTGCATGACAGGCGGCTATGTAGCCCAGGGGTTGTCAGAGAGTGACCGTGAAGTCCTAAAATTATTAACGAGTTGACGCGAACCCCATTCCGTTCCGAGAATAAATCTGTTGATTTCTGGACGGTATTAGGGTCGGACAGTAAACAAATATAGCACTTATCGATAATTCGTAAAAATCTGCAGACCCCTTCTGGGCCCTCATCAGGGGGAGGTGGTAACTGATTTGAGCATCCCTTATACCCGGCGGCGATTAAACAACTGTCGAAATCCCCGAGCTTCGTTCGAGCCGCATCTGCGCGCCCTTTACATTTCTCGATCGACCTCGTTCGATAAAACCGAGGATAAAACTGTCCTCTCTCTCTTTGCGCCTTGCTGATCGTCGAAAAGAAAAGTCGACACGATAGATTATGATCCGATAACTGCGAGGAAACAGCTTCCGGCAACGGCTGACTCCTCATTTTAACGTCAGACTCAGTTGGTGACTTGAGGCTATTTTACCGATCTAACTTTCAAAGAGAGCGAAAAGATCTCTTTAAAAGTAAGAAAATCGTCAGCAAAATTTCGAAAAGTAATGTAATAATAGTAAAAGAGACGATGTACAAACGTATGATAATCCGATCTTATGAATTGCACACATCGATTTTTCTCGATAAATATTTTTTCTTATAATATTAATATTCGACAAATTGTCGGGATCCCAGGAATAATAAGTTGCAAGGAAAATTTTAACTCTCTGAGTGTTCTAAATATTTTTATATTTTTTAAAATAATAAAAGTCAAATAATTTTGTAAATATTCATCGTCAAAGATTTATTTGAAAAAACTATTGAGTTTTATTTGCATCCTAATAACACATATCAAACGTGGATCAAATAAAATTTTTTACATTTTTTGACAAAAATGCTTCAAAAAAATTATAACTCGGCGTGCAATGTTTTTTATTCATATATATTCAAAACATTTATTTATTATATATATTTTCCTCTTTTTATATACGTGCTTAATAGTATATGAACTAATTCGTATACAACACTGTAAAGTCGTATGAAAAATTTCACAGAAAAATTTATTTTAAAAACCTATTGAGTTTTATTTGCATCCTAATAACACATATCAAATCAAATTTTTCACATTTTGTACGTTATGTTGAGAAAAAAATGCTTCAAAAAAATTATAACTCGGCGCGCAGTATTTCTATACTCTCATATAGGTATATTCCAAATATATATTTTATTTTATGTTTTTTCTCTCCGTTTTTATACGTTAATATTAATTATATTTTTATACGTTAATATTAATTTGTAATAATATTGTTAAGTATGTAAAGAGTATGGAAAATATCACAAAAATAGATGCTTTGAGAAAAATGAACATAACCATCGGAATTAAGCATCGGATAACATATACGTACATACAATATGCATTTAAAATTAACTTGATCCGCGTCATGAAACCGCATGCGAAAAGCGTTCGCGATGCGCGTCGGCACGAAAAAATTTTCTCTCGGAAAAAATGTATAAAATATGTATCACGAGAGAAAGAGATAGAGGAATTTCCTATACACCGCGTTTCAGTGGACATTCATCTGGGCGCGTAACGGCGCTTTGTCGCGCGAAGCGGAATACCCCTTGATAAGGTACTTTGCCGGCGTGTGTTCTCCTTTCGGAAGCCGGCGGCAATTGCCGGCGGCAGGCGCCGGATTTCAAAGGCGAAAAAGCTCGCGCACGCTCGAGATCGAAACCCCCTTTTCCCGTGGAGCATCCGTGTGTGTGTGTCTCCAACTCCGCAAAAACAAACGACGAGACGCGAAAACGAACAACTGCGCCGTTGCATCGCCATCGGTGGTCCCTCCTTTGAAACGCGATATAAAACGCGGAACTACTCTCTCTCCCCCTATATACGTTCTCTTTTCTCGAATCCATATATTTAACTAACGGTCGACGGACTCGCGCCGTAAAGAATAAAAAAAAAAAAAAAAAGGGTAGACTTTGCAATCCTGTTCTTGGACGCCGGCAAGCGCAGCGGTATCTCTACCGTGTGTCCTTTCATAATTTTTCTCGGCGCGTGAATCTTCCATACGGGGCCTCCGTCGGCAGACTCTGTGAATTTTCGGTAGTATGCGGAAGAATAAAGAGAGAAAAAGGGAGAAAGATTTAAAGAAGCTCGTATATAAAATTAGCGAATGACGTGTCGCGCGAATATGCAGGAAAGCGAAAAAAATAATAGAATATTCTACTCGAGTAATAATACACAGTTATTTAAAAAGACGATAGCGTAGAATAATTATAATATTTTAATTACGAGAAAGCGCACAAAGCTGAAATAACTACGAATATATGGTGGGAAATATTTTACGGATATTTCATGTACCTAATCTAAAATGAGTAACAGAGAACGACCAGAGAGATAGTTTCCCACCGCATGTTTATGCACGCGAAACTATATTTTCTAATGATAGAGGGGATTAATGTCCTGTCTATTAATTAGTAACTAAGTGTTACGCGGCATATCCATTAGTGATGTAATCATGTTAACTAAAATCGGGGAATCAGGGACCGAGGCGCCGATAGCGTTTAACGTGCGCGGCCGAGATGAATTATCGGACGTCTCTGGTAATTATCAGATAAATATTACACGAGAATGTATCCATTAGCGGCGATCGCGCGCTCTCGCCGGTTAGATGAACCCAGATTTCATAAACCGAACGAACTGGTGCGTGCGCCGATAATACGCACTATAAATAGAGAGACGGAAATCCGTAGCGAATTATCGAATATCGCGAGAGCGATTTACATGTGTTACATATATCCCCGTTCCGTCAGCGCAGATCACGATCATCTGGTGCATTACATTACCTCGTGTGTTACACATCGCGCGCCCGGAAATTCGTAACACGCGAGATCTGTTTTGTTGCCGTCCCTTCTTGCAGGGTGCGTGCCACTACAGTTACCCCAATTACGGTTCTCCGCGATGCTCGTTACCGGACCGCCTGCCCTGCTTGTTTCCGCTGATAGATCCCTGTTGTATTTTCCACGTGATTTTGCCGCGTGTAGAGCGCCGAGGCACGAACCGGTCGCGACCGTCTGTGTCCGAGCTCTACTTTTCGCCGACACACTTGGAGAGAGAGCGAGAGAGAGAGAGAGAGAGAAAATTCGCGCAAACTCGACCCGCGAATCTTGTTTAGAACCGCACACGCGGTGCAATCTAGATTTCGCGCGGCCTGCACGATATCCAGCAATTCCCCTCGTTCTGCGGGCTTTACAACACAATAAGATGATTACGTGATCGACACATTCGGCCCTTTCATCGCATTCTCTCTGTGTCCCTTTCGCAGATTTTATTCTACGTTGAACAAGAAGACCGCGAGTGGATGCGCCGACATCGGCGGGAATGCTGGCGAAAGGACAGGAGACGCGGAAACGTAATAAAGCCGATATAGTCTAAGGACGGCGAGGACAGATTGGGAAGTAACTGAACGACCGAAAGCGAAGTCGAAAGAGAAATGGACAAGGGTGTGGACGACAGCGCGTGGGAGGACAGAGGCGGCAAATTGAAGCTCGGGTAAGTGGAAAGCCAATTTGAAGTTTCTTGTTGTGGAAATAAGATCATGGAAAATTATTGGGTGTCGTAACGGGGTCTCCGCGACACGTTCCCATAACACGTGAGGTTCTCTCGCGGACGGATAGAATCTTCCTCTCGCGGGGGAAAATTGGAAACCGCTTTGTCGGCGTATTACGGGAATCCGGTCGAGATGCAGGCGGAGAGAGAGAGAGAGAGAGAGAGAGAGATTTTCAGCATCGATGTGTCAACAGCAGCGCGACGCCGATACGTTTTCGACTTTCACGCGAGTCGACGAGGCGGAAAGTCCATAACGGATCGTCGCAAATTCGAAAGATAATTTATGCGCAAAGTCGCGTAAACGTGGATTTGTATATATCATTTCCCAAGTAGATTATCCCATTTTGCATCAGAGACATGCGGGTAATATTCGGTAGAAAGAGGATGAGATTTTTGAGTATCGCGTGTATAACGCGTATTATGGAATCTGACCGCGCAAAATGCAGCGCGATTCGGCTCTATCCGCACGTTTTTAATTAAAACGCCAGGTTTAATGAAGAATTTCGATAGATGCATGCGAACGATTATATTCCGTCCATTTTCCGTGTCCGCGGACAAATGATCGGCTTGCGCATTTACACAGCGCGGGATATGCGTTTTGCAATCGTCGTGTGGCGGGGCTTTTAATTTATTTCTCCCCCTCCTATTCACCCCTCAACCCACCCTTTCGCCACCCCGTTAGTGCGCCGCGACGAAATTAAATTTAGGCGTTTGTTTATACGCTCGCAGCGTACTGTGCGCGCGACGAGATTATCGGCTAGCAACGTTGGTCCTATCGAAAATGTCCGACCGCGAAAATGAAAGCGGACGTGTCGCGCTTTCAGACATTTTGCAAATTTGCGGCCGCGCGCGCGTTCAATTAAATTAACAAATTGCATTCGGCCGCGCCCGACGATTATCCACCCCTTCGTGTCGCAACGTTTGCGGAAGTGGCCCCCTACGAAAATAATAATCGAAGGGGGAATACCTTTTCTTCCTCTCTTTCGCGATCTCCTTCGACGATCAATTTGTGCCACCCCGGCGACATTAACAATGTCAACATCTTGATTCACACTCTCGAAGAATAATATTGTCCCGCAATTACTTTCCGTCCCGGACGGAAAATAGCTGAATCGTACAGCCGGTTTCTAAGTGTTTGTACACGCGGGGCAATAAATTTCTGTTCTCGCGAGGAGCAGGAAGGAATGCGAGGAACAGCAAAAATACTCTTAAAAATCATTTCAGTTATATTCTCGCGATAGACAAAAGCGATGTAACGATGTGCAAATATTATTACGAATATTCGTGTGTATTATTCTGAAAATCCGCAAACTTGCGCCTCGCTATCTGTCGGCGTTACGTAACATTGTTAGAGACCTCGAAGAGAAGAGAGAGTTATATATATCATCTTCCCGGAATTCGCCAAGAGGTCTGCCCTCTTAATCGTTCCGAAGACAAGAAGCCACTCGACGACGACGACGGTCCATCGACGATCGTATATATATATATCGAATTAGGTCATATCTTATATATGCGCGCCCTTGTGTTTGTACTTGGGCAAAAGCACACAACCCGCCCTGTATATACCTGTATGCCAACGTGAAAGTCCATCGTTTCGGTCCTACGTTCGTTACCGACCCGAGCGCCATAGTTGAACTTAACTTCGCTCACGGGATGTTTGCCGGTTAATTCTCCGAGTCGTATTACATGTACAGCGGAGCTAACGTGGAAAACTGGAACTGGGATCCTCGTATGTGCTTGTCTATTTCTTGTTGTGTACCGTTGGCTTGTTCTTTTCAACATTTTATTCTAATATTCTGTGAAATGATATTCGTATACGTTGGAATAATTTTCAATATATATGTATACACGTACAGGTAAAACTAAAAGGATTTTCGACAGATTCATTAACTATATAATAAGTTTGACAACTTTATACGTATATGTCGCAATTATCATAGTGAGCTCTCTCGGATCGCATGACGGGTTTTTAGTTAACGTCGTTGCAACAGTAGAATGGCTTCCGTGTAGACTGCCGGGAGGGCCATAATAGACTGTAATTGCCCCTAATGAAATATAATCATTGTTTCCACGCTGCTAGCAGCATTCTATATTAAAGCGATCCCGAAACTTTGTTTTTGAGTTATTTATGAGATTAACGTGTAATGAAATATAGTCTCGTTTATGGCAAATATGCCCGTCGACGCTAAGGGATATATACAGCGGAAGTTTATACTCGTATAAATTCCAGCCCCGACCGAATTAATTACTACTTCGAATCGAAAGTATCGCGAGGCCATTGAGTGCGGAAAATCGCGCGCGCGATAAATAACGCGCGGATCGATACGTGAGAATTTATCAGTTTTCCATCTTTTTTTCTTTCTTTTTTTTTTTTTTTCATTCGTTCGATTCCACACACGAACGGCGGCCTCTCATCGGGGAAAACGCCTGACAAATTTATCTGCCACTACTGCCGCTCTAAAGGACAGCCGTACGTGTACCACGTACAGCATCTATCGATCCTGCCGAGTACGCGAGGACACGTTTCTGCTTTCGGGTATAGTATCGAACGGAAGTAACGCGCTCGCGTAATCGCGAACCGTGAACGGCCCGGATTCGAAAAATCGACCGGCTATATATAAATGTTAATTCGCGGGAGTGAATAAGGTACGGATAAAATAGTGTAGGTAAAGTCGGAAACAAAAATTAAAATCTTAATCTTCCACATTTTTTTCTCGTCGTCTAACATATCGCCGGATATATCTCAAGATCGAGGCGGATAAGACTGGGAATGTAAGATCGGCTTAATCCCCGAATTATGCGATTCTTAATCGAATCATCCGTTCTACGAGCACGTATGATTAATCTTCTCGAAGATTCATATCTGTTTAATTATCCTTTACAACCGCACCGTCTACGTAATTATTACGGCAAGAGTTCGCGTTTATTTAATTATCAGTCAGCGTGTCAATCAATTTTGCTGCCCGACACGCGTTCGACACGATTTTCAACGATGCTGTGTCGTTCGTGTCTAGGATCGCGAATATGTCAAGGACGAGAGGAATTCCATTTATCTTGATAAATCTTGCACGAATTTACGTAGTATCGTTCTGTCAATTTTCGTTTCTTTCGAGAGAAAGAAAGAGAGAAGTCGAAAAGACACACGACTGGAGGGTACGAGTCTATTATTATTCACAATAACAGTCGCGAGTTGGCAGATCTCGGGGAGACTTTTCGGTTTTTATATAAGATGAGAGCTCTCTTCTCGCGAGAAACCGCGAGAAATCGAGAAACGTTGGATCGTGATTTTCGCGATTAATACGACCGGAATGTAAACGCAAGTGAGGAATTTCACTCGCCCGAGTGTCCTTTGATCATTTGGTAACTACGGTTAACTCGGAATAATGAAACCGGCGCTTTACGCTCACTTCGGTTCGCCTTAATTAGTGCTGTAATTAAATGGAAGTTTAAGCAGCGCGAATGGAGTTCGCCCCCGTGGAAATCTTCGACGTATACTCAACCCCGGATTGCTTCTTACACACGCGGCTTCAGTAGATATTCCCCGATTCTCTTGTATTAAATGCCGCGTAGTTTCGAATACCTACCGATTGCAATATCTTGCTTACACAATCACGTAGATTTTTATTTTCATTCATTCTTTTCCGAATATCTTACTATTTGCCCGCGGTCTCTCGATTCCATCAATTTTGACACTTCTTCCTCTTGCAAAAATTTATCTAAATAAAAAATGTAATTCATTATTCTGTCGAGTTGCTTGTAAGATTTTAATAATCGTTTGAAATAATCACCTAGTGCAAAGTTGAGAACGGAGAGAGATTTAAATGTTAATTCGAGAGATCTCGCAAGTCGAAAGTTTAACTTTCAAAATAGATTCTCGTCGATTCCTTCCAACGTTTCTACCTTGCATCGTGCTAAAATGTAGATAAGAGATCGTGAATATGTATATATATCACGCATGGGTAAATACGAATAATATCTGCGGGTATACATATAGGGATATATATACGATGAGCCCTGCAATGGGTGCGCATATCCAGCCTTTGTTATTCTCTCGTTTCTCTCGCTCATAAAGTCAACATTATATACGCGCTGTAATGTTGATTGCCCGCATATACACTCCTCGCATTGAAACATATACCACCCGGTGCACTTCTCTCGCCCACGCGTTGACGAGGAGAGATAGCCTCTGGAAACGAACAAATGCTCCCCCACGTTTCCTTGTGTTCACATCCTCGGTTTTGCTCGTGGTCCAAGTTCTTCCCAGATCGAACGCAGAGGCCAACGTGTCGGTTGGCGCGATAACTGGACAGTGTCGCGAATGGAAGTAGCTCGTTAATGGCGAAAGTTCCGACGAGCGGATCGATATCGTCCGAGAAAACAACCAGAACGTGACGGAGGTGAACGTGACGCGAGGGTGGAAGACGTCGAAGAGGGTCGCAACCCGAGCAGCGTCTCCCCGTAATGCCTTTTTGATATTCTACGAGTGGCTACGTGCGATCGTTGGTTCATCGATCGATAAACGTCATCGGATGCGCGAGAAAGCGTAGCGTCCCGGAAAAACGCGCGGAAGTCGATCGAAAGTTTTACAGTATTATTTATAATTCGATGCGAGCATTCTCTTCTATAGAATTTGCAAATAAAGAGACGCGAGAAAATAAGAAAGTGAATAATATATTTATATTCCCGAATAGCGCTCCGTCTGCGAAACTAGATTTTGCGAAACACATATAATTATAATTATAGGATCCACCTTATTACATAGAAATGATAAGAGAGCACTCATTTTAATATTTAATCCGACGGGGGCGAAATGATTTTCATTTTCCGCGTGCTCCATTTTTACGTCTCCCCCTCGGATAATTTCATTATCGGTCGCAGTAATGAAAGAGTCGAATGAGAGAAAACGTAGAAACGCGAGAGCTGGTCGGAGGTATAAATTTCAA